CTTTACAAGTCAATCACTTGAATGTATTAAGTAGTAGGCGTGCATTGCTGTCTGCAACGGATTACATTATACACTTTTTCAGATGGCTTTTATTAAGAAAGTGCTCTAGATTTCATTCCGTTGTACAAAGGTTTCTACTCCCTAAGCTGCATATAATGTATTTAACCAGACAGTTTGTTGCATCTTCCAGGTGGAAATCGAAGGAACCCAAGGTTCTGAGCACTTGCTGCACTCAACAGGACAACACTTGGTTTTATATAATCAATTTAACATTAAAATGAATTTCAAATTAAAATGTAATTTTCAATAAATGTTTGTATATGTCACTTTAAGATCTTGACAACTCATTGTGGGTATTAACCCTTTCACTTAATGTAGAGAAAAGTTTGGGCTCCTAGGTTCCCTCCCTGCCTGATTTTCATGAGAACTCATGAATTCACTCAGGTATATCATTGTACCTATAGAGCCTACAGACAACTTGATTGACAGCTGCTGATGTTTGATTTGGAAGGCACAGGAGATGATTCAGTGAAGACCTTTTCCAAAAACCCTATTCCCAGTGTGATCTAAAGCCTTGCCTCTATATCTAAAGAGTATTGTACAATACTGATGCTTGAGGACGGTGTCTTAAATTATTTTTCTAAAAGTTACCTACTGCAGCTTTAAACTGCCATCTGACTGCCAGTGACCCTGCAGCTTTTGGGGTCCACTTTGTCAAGTTGGAAGACCAGCCCTGCCTCCATCTGTAAAACATGCACACATGCATACAAAAACACAAGCCAAAAATGGGTCACATGAACATGTTTATTTGTCTTGCATATTGGTTACTGAATCAAAAGTCCCTATCATTCACTATCATTATGTTGACTTACAAATAATGACCCTGACTAATAATCACACAGGCTACTGTTAAACAAAGTAGATGAGGATGGAAGATTTGGAACATTAAAGACAAAATAAAAGGAGAGCAGGCAGGAGACAAAGAAGCAGGTTTTGAGTGTCTGATTTGTATGATTGTATCTAACTATACAAAACCCAAATGTTTACAACAAATAGAGGTTGTGTGCCATTTTTCAGATTGTGCATAGGACAGCCAACGCAGTGTTTATGGTCCCTGATCTGCAGCAGCTTTCTGTACAACAGGGCCACATCTCATCAAACCAGGCACAGCTGTACTGTTCTGGAGTAGCACATTCCTTCCACATGTGAACAAAGGTGAACTAGCACTGTACAGTATATACTTCACCACTAAATCATTCTCACTTGGGCAGAGTGTGCCTGGACTACCCTGTTCCCAAGCTGCAGTCTGTAGTTTTCAATTAGGAATTAGTAGGATTCAATTACTTAAAATTAAGTTGCATCAGGTTATTTTGGTTAAGAATAGGTTAAGAATTAAAGTTTTGGTCATGGTAGTTGGTCACTTTCATTGCCTGCTCCTTTACATATCAAGCAAACAGCATGGTGTTCAAGGATTTCTAGTGAGATCCCTCTTGTTTCAGTAAAGGACTCTTAATATTCTCGACTGGCCTGCTTGGAATACAGGCTCCAAGAAACTGTGAATACAGTTGGACCCTGGTGCTCTTCAGCTCAAGTTTTTATCTCAAACTACTGTACAGAAGTTGATGTTGAGTCACATGTCCCTCTTGTGATCATTTACCACATGCTGTGGTGGCATCTTTCTTTGTTTTAACTATATCCTATTGACCCTTCCTAAGTCCCGTCCCTTTTGGAACCTTGGCAAACTTTCTCCTTTCCTGTACTTAGATATGCTGTGTGCTTTGCTCGTCTATGTTGAAAAGACACATTTTGCAGATGGTTAAAAGATAAAAGTGACATAGGCCTATTTCTCTCTTTAACCCCAACCAGTTGAGTCAGATGACCTAGAGCCAGGGTCTGCCCGAGGTTTCTTTTTCCTTGCCACTGTCACCAAGTGCTTTCTCACGGTTGGGTCTAATTTTGTAAGTACGGTCTAGACCTGCTCAATTTGAAGATATATGAACTGAGATAACCTGTGTTACGATTTGGCGCTATACAAATAAAACTGAACTGAATATATATATATAGTCACATCATAAGTTAGCTAATGTAAGCAAAACACTAACTAGGTAGCTACATCAATCCTTAGCTTGTGTTTTGCTAACATTAGCTATTCGATGTAACCAGCTAATGATGTAGATTAGCTAGCTGGTTAGCCTAGCACATAGTATATTTGGGAAAGGAGAAAGCTGACTGAGGTTCAGACCGAAGCTTGCTCAACTGTTACTGGGTCAATTGAATGTCACTGTTCATTTAATATAGTGCTGCACTTTAAATATATACACAGTAATATGCATCACCAATGTGATCCAAGCTGAATTTACTACCGAACATAACCAAAGCCACTGCTTTCCACAAAAAATTGCATTTGCTGAAAAAAAAAGTGACATTGTGGCACAGTGAGGGTAGAACTGTAAGCTATGTTGCATGAAAACTAGATGACAGACACTGAAGTTGATTAGAGAACAACACAAAAGTAAAGGTATGCAAAACCTGACAACCTGAGGGTTTGCATATCAACATATCCACTAAACAGAGATAAACGAGAGAAAATAAGAACAAAAAAACAAAAAACAAAAAAAAACATCTGGCCATATTGAGGATACAGGTTTTTTTTCACCTTCTCATAAATTGTCTATTTATGAAAAGGCACCCATTTTTTAAAAATATACTGAGATGTTAACAGCAACACACAGCTCCAAGTTCCTCTTATAAAAATGCAATAAATTAGTTTTAACTGACAACAAAAATATGACATCTTCATCTAGAAAGAGTGAGTATGTATAACAAAGTTTTAATTCATGTTTCACCTCACTCCGCGGTGCATGCGAGTAATCCATTGTGCACACAATTAAATGTTCGTTTGAATGTGTCAGCATGCGTTAAAATCAATGCACAGCCAATCTAATAAAAGGTGTCCATTAAATAAGATTACAAAGAGCGCTAAAGAGGCATCAGGTCCTTTCATTCAAGTGCCTTGAGAATGCCTGTAGAGGGCACTCTTACACTACCTTTACAATACAATCAGCACCCTTGCAAAATAAGTCACACTGACACACTCCCTCTCTTTATCTCTCTCCAGTCATCATATCTAAATATATGCTGGGTAGAACAGTACAAACAGTATGTGGGGCCACATGAATTCAGGGGCCACCTCCTTCAGTAGTGAAACCTCTGCAGGACGAAAGCCAGTATGGTGAACCTGCACCTCCTCTGTCAAAGGACAGATTATTTGTTTATTGCCACTTGGTCCTATTTCGATAGATTAGTCGGATGCCGCCTCTTCCCCCATTCAAATCAGACACATACTTTGTTTGAATCATACTGAGGCCCTAGAGTGGTGGGTCTGTACACTAATGTTTTTTTTGGTGATATTGTTACAGTTTCGCTTTGTTTTCCCTTGTTGGATCCAACCTTTCTGACTGTCTGACTGCCTATGTTTCTTGACCTGCTTGTCTTTATGATGATGAAATGATGGCCAAAACTACAAAACAAGACCCAAGCTGTAATAAACGTCAATTATTCTTTAATAAGACACTAGTCTCACAGAGACCAAAACAGATGGTGTGTTTGGGTGCTCTTTAACTCTAATACTACATGCTTACTTGATATTACTGAATTCAAAAGGGCTCCAGAAGGGAGACCTGAACACACCGTTAAACAAATGGCCAGTCAATGTCTTGATAAAGGATGGGAAAAGAAGGTCCCAGGTCAAGCTTCGTCAACCTATTATGACACATTCAGTATAGAACTGCATGACACTGAAGGAGGAGGCCCTGAGCTGGAACACAGGCAGTGTGTGATGACCCACACATGAGTGATCAGTGAACTTGTCCACTTGTGCGCTTTCCTCTCTGTCTTCATGTCTATATATATATCTGCTCATTTCAACTGTCTCTTTATGATTATATAGTGCTTTATCCTAAGCAATTTAATTTTTTAGGATTTTTTTATTCCAGAAGTGTATGCAAACATTGATCTAGCAGTGAATACAATAGCCTTTGCATCCCTATTCTATTCCCTTTTCACCTTCGAGACCCTACTTTAATTTCAGGTATTATAGAAAAAGGAGGGACAAAAATTAAGAACCAAAAAACAGAAACATACATAAAACAGAAGATACATTGTTGAAGTACTGAGACAAATATCAGTGTTCAGGACTCTTTGAACATACAATGTTATCTGTGTCCAATGAAGTAATAAGAGTGTTACTTTTAGTCCCGTATTATGTGCTTGTGTTTGTCGAACGAAATACTGGTCTGACACAATGAAGAGTAAGCAGGACCCATAATACGGAACAAAGACTCATCATTGTTTTCTTGTTTTTTCAAGTTTTTTAAAATAGAAATTTTCAAAAGTTGCTTAGGCAATTGTAAAAAATATTATTTCCTTTCACCTTCTGTCTTTCCTTATTCATTATTGGTCCATTGTAAGAAATAGGGCTAAATAGCAAGCAATAGGAAACTGTAAATTATACCTGTACACAAAAACTCTTCAGGGTAGTATTATATATATTCTCATTCACACAAGGCTTCATTTATGCTCACATCTGAGCCCTTAAAGATTAATCAGTTGTCACTGCAGCATATCAGTCTAGTCTTCAAATAATAAGTCAATAACACTGGCATTAGACAGTGTCTTTCAAATAGAACCCAGACAGTGGGCACATGCTTGTGACTTCCCTCAATGTCCAGCAATAAAGCCATGTGACAACATTCCAGAGATGTCTGTTTCCTGAAAGCGGTGCTTGTCAAAAAAGAGATGAACGTCCAAAGGTCTTGTTAGATATGAAGAGTGCATCTCCCCAGAAAAACTACAACTTTTTAACAATGAATATGTTTTTGTCCACTTTAGGTAATAGGTGTTACAGTTTATTCTGGTTAGTTGCTGTCATCCATCCCATCAACCTTTTCCTCAACCCGTCCATTTGGGTCCCTGTCTGTGAACCTTTCAGAATTTTGGGCTCACATGCTCGTTTCACAGGGCGGTGTCAGGCTTCCGTCCAGAACGATGTGGTTTTCCTGTTTCTCTCCAATTTGTTCTACTGCCTCCCTTCCTTCTACTTCCTCCACTCCCTCCATAGTTACTAACTCCTGGGTGCAGTTGAGCGGGCTGGTTTTAGATGACAGTGGGCTAGCACTGCTGCCTGAGCCGACAACAGACCTCTCCATGTGATTCCTTCCCTGGTGGCTTAAGCCTGTGAGCTGCCCTTCACCTTCTAAGCTTGTGGCTGCTGAGCCCTCACCTCCCCCCTGGGAGTTGCTTGGACTGACAGATTGCTGGGCCAGAGACGCAGATTGCAAGATCGACAGCGGAGACTTACTTTCCTGTGTTGCGGAGCTAGGAGAAGTAGAAAACCTAGTAACCATGTCATCGGAAAGTAACTGAGCAAGCTTGGCTGAGCCAGCAGAGGCTGGGGTTGTCACAGGTGTCATCACTGCCATTAGCACATCATCTTGGGATCCAATGAAGTCAACCTTGGTGACTCTTGTGTTTTGAGGGCTGCCATAATCTCTTAATGAGCTACATATGCTGTCATAGGGCACCCCAAAGTTTTCCACACTCTGTGGCACCACACCCACATCTCCAGTCCTACTTCCTCTGGGACTGGACACAAACTCATACAAACCCTCTTTGATTATGGCCATTGGCTGGATGCTGCCAGGGGCCCTGTTTGCCTCCATGGTGCTGATCTGACTTAGATCCAAGGGAGGGGGAATACGCTGGAGTCTAGCACCAGTTTGACCACTTTCAGCATTGGGGAGCAGAGAGCTTCTTTCTCCTCTTTCAACAGACAAATCATCAGCCACATTAGAGGATTTTCTATTGATGTTCAGTTCAGGTAAAGTTTGCAGGGTTTGGGTTGAGAATACTTTCATCTCCATCTTCTCCTCATTATTTTTATGTCCTGGGATGGTTGCTGTCTCTTTGTTAGTGTCATCTAGCCGCTTTGCATTGAGATGTTGAGGGGTAGCTTTGTTAGATGAAAGCTTGACCCGTTCAGGGGAACCTAGCTGAGCCACTTCTTGGTAATGTGAATGCTGGGACTTGCCTGGGCTACCCACATCTGTATTGCTGTAGTGTTTGTGGTAGCTCCAGCGGCTGGGTGACAGGTGATTGTCCACAGAACACTTACTGTCCTCTCTCTTTTCCACCAAGACATCTGTGAGTTCCATACTACGTGCAAAAGCATCTTTTAGGTTAATAGAAATAATACTTCCACTTCTTTTGGCTCTTTCAAGAGCTTCCCTCCTCTTAATGGCCTTCTCTTGCCTCTTCTGCTCTCGGTAGAACTCAGAGAAGTTGTTGACAATGATTGGGATGGGAAGGGCAATGACCAACACACCTGCTATGCAGCAGAGCCCTCCTACAATCTTGCCCAGCAGAGTTTGTGGGTAGATGTCTCCATAACCAACAGTGGTCATAGTAATGGTAGCCCACCAGAAAGAGGCAGGGATGCTGGTGAATTTGGTGGCGTCCTCATCCTTCTCAGCAAAGAACACCAAGCTAGAGAAGATCATGATGCCCATGGCTAAGAAGAGGATCAGCAGACCCAACTCATTATAGCTCCTTCGCAAAGTGAAGCCCAAAGACTGGAGTCCTGTTGAGTGCCTGGCAAGCTTCAGGATCCTCAGGATCCTCATAATTCGGAAAATCTGGACCACACGGCGCACATTCTGGAACTGCATCACACTCTTGTTGGACTCAGTTAGGCAGAGGGTCACATAGTAAGGCAGGATTGCCAGCAGATCAATGATATTCAGTGGTGCTTTAATGAAATTCCACTTGTTAGGTGCTGAGAGCAAGCGGAGAATGTACTCCATGGTGAACCAGGCAATGCAGACAGCTTCCACATGGGCTAGGCTGGGGTTGTCATTGAACTGGCCAAATTCATCTACCACCTGGAGCTCCGGAAGAGTGTTGAGGGACAACGAGATAGTTGAAATGATGATGAACAAGATGGAGATCATAGCCAAGATCTGAAAGACAAAGACAAGATTGTGGGTTACTCTTATTTGGCACTTTAACATTGTTAATGTGAGCATGTTACCTTGCTAATATTAGCATTTATTTGAAACCTGCTGTGTATAATTACAACCTCACAACCAGTGTTGCTAGATTTAATAAAGTTTGCCCTGTGGCACTAGAGAAAAGGTCAGCAAAAGTCACTTTTCGACCAATGCTCTTAAGATGGTTGAGCCCTGGAAGTTGTGTCATATAATGCATAGTAACAGTCACTTTTGCCACTTGTAACCTGGACAGGCCGGGTAGCTCTGTGAGAGTCATGCTCCTTGATTTCCGTGTTCAACACCATGGCCTGCTGTGGAGCAAGCAAGAAGATGCTCCCCTGGTGTCCTGGATTGTGGACTAGTTGGCCCACAGTATGTTAGACTGCAAGGCTGCGTGTCTGACACAAAATATGGGGGCCCCAAAGAGTTATGTCACCCTTTCTGTTCACCCTTCACATTTCAGACTTCAGATACACCTCCAAGTACTACCAGCTGCAGAGGTTCAACAACAACAACAACTGTGCAATTGTTGGCTGCATCAGCAAGAGAAAGGCTGAGTACATTGACTCCATATAACAACATAAACTATCTTCTGTGTCTCTGGAGGAGGTTTGTCAAGTGTGAGAAAATAACCCTGATAATGTCATAGTGATGTCATCACCTAGGGTTCAGAGACTACACATGCACAAGCCCACATTACAAACTGGGGGTTTGGAGTTAGAAAGAGGTGAGCATTTACCAGACAGGTTAAGTAGAGTGTCTCATGAAAGGTTGCACTATGGGAAGTGTAGGGTCCAGCATTTTTGGATTTTGTTTGCCTCAGTTGCATCAATTTAAACATTCTTTTTGTATTTTGTCTCTTGTGAGTCCCAAAACCTATTGAAAGTACAATACTACTATTATTACTAAATAAACAGTCAGTCTCACTGATGCTCTTGTTTGTTTATGTCATTAATATAGAGGCTATAGAGGTTTCATATCCAGTTAAAAATGAATTGTAGTAAGTTTAAGTAATAGTACCAACACAACAATATAACAAATTTTTAAGTACTTTATATACAGTTATGTAGATAGTGCAGTAATTCATAAACTAGGGGTTCGGCACCTCCAAAAGGTCACCAGATTAATTTGATGGGTCATGAGATCAGAAATTCAGTGGAAAAGAAAACAAGAAGAAACAAAGCTCTGATACACAATGTGTTAGCAGTTTTTTGAATCTTTCTCTATTTGCTTTTTGTATATTATTGGATACTTTTATTCAGTTCACCCAACTGTTCCCAATTGAACTTCTTTGGGCCTTGAACAGATACCACTTGAGAGGTTTAGAGGATAAATCACACTCTGATGGAACTGTTAACAGCCTAACTACACCAGTATATCCACAACTAGGCACTGATTTTTGTAAAGAGTTTTGTACAGTATAGCACAGTCCAAAAGTACAGTCCTCTTTGAAATGTGGCCTAGTGAAACACAAGTAAAAGCTTTACAAGAAAAACGTAGCATAAAATATATACACTCAAGTGAAGTTCCTCAAAATCTTACTTGACTTACTTGTACCTTACATAAATGTAAGAGTATTTAAAGTAAATGTACTTAGTTACATTCCAACATGATCTATAATGTTTTTGCCAACAGGTTGGTAACTTAGACACACTTGCTACCAGTTGTTCAACTTTTGTGGCAGTTTTTATTAACTATGGTAGTGTTTTATGTTCTGGTCAGAATTCCCTTTTAGTGCTGGTTTTTGTGTGCTTTAACAACCTCTTCTACTGATTGGTCCATATTTTTCCCACAACGCACTTGAAAGAATTGGTCATCAGGGCTAGCAGACATTCAAGCCTGAATATTTGACAAATTGCTGAGTAAAATGTAAACAGAGTTTTTGCCCCAGTATATTTTATTTCACAGATGATTTATGAACCTTTCAGATGCCCCCAGGCCCCTGTTCATTCTTGCTCCTGATTTGAAGCTACTAGTGCTACTTCTCACAGCATATCTCACTATAAAGTTGAGCTTCAACCAGGAACTGTTGTCCTAACACCTCTGATTAAAAAAAATATGGTGGAACTCTAATGTCCTAGCCGAGTGAGGCAGCTGAAGCATGTGCGGTCTGAGTCTTCTCTCTGCAGCCCTTGCTAGGACATTTCAGGATAATTGTAATAGGATTGTGTTGCTATCTATAGAAAGGATAGAGAGAGGTTAGAAGTGTTTACTCATTCTTTCCTCCCCCAACAGGAAGAATCAAGCAATAGTTAGACACCCCCAATAAAAGCTTTATACCAAAATAAAATCATTAAAAAGGGTCAGAAAAATTGGTGATGGTATGAGAACTCTGAGTCTATTACAAAACTAGTGTGCTAGCACACACATTAGCTTCTACTATGAAAGTATAAATGCCTTGTGACTTTAAAGATACACTCCCTGATTTTGTTAGTGTTCACTGAGTGCCTAAAAAGGTTGTAATGTTGTAATAAAATGAATCCTCTAAATAGTCAGAGTGGTGCACTAATGGGTGGAATGTCAGTTCAACAGTCATACAGCAGTATCTACTGTTTTCAGATCAGTTAAAGGAGTAAGCTCCTCCCTTTTCTATTTACATAATGTGAACTCTGGTTTAGAATGGTTTAAAAGCAAATACCTGCATTTTCAAATAGTCATGTTATGGATTTAATGTTGTCATAGTATACCTGCAATTTAATTCATATTTCCCTGACTTTGACAATGAAAATGAAATGAAATTTGTACGCTTTTAATTATGTAACCATAAGTCCTATGGAGTTTGGAGTGTGCCACTGGACGACTTTCTAACTAATGATAATCTAAAATAGAAAAAATTTTGTAAGTAAAATGAGAAAAAATATTCTGCTTCTTTATTCTGTCTTTAGATCATAAATTCTAATCATTATTTTGATAAAATCTCAGAATTCAAATTGGTGTCATTGCCAAGAAGGTTTTCACATACAAGGAATTTTGGTATATTGGTGCATAACAATAAAGATAGAAAAGAGAGACAGATAGACAATATATACAAATATAATGTATCAATGTAATAGAAAATAATAACTGAAATTTAAAATTAATTCATCATCATTCTATTTACACATCTGTCTTCTTATCACAATCCATTGAACAATTCATTTTGTACATTTCGTGATCACTTTAATGTAAAGAGTGCTCACTTTAATTTGCATATCACCTAAAAATTAAATCTATGAAGATCCAGAACCAATTTGAATTTAAATCCTTGAATGACAGAGTAAGAATAATGATTTAATAATTGAATAATGGATTAAAAAAAACTGTTTTTAACTTTTCACATCGAGGAAACTAAAACAAACTAAAAGAAACTAAGACAGCGCTTCATTAGAATGAGTTCTTAATCTAGTATGCCCTTTGTTTGATTTAAAGACACATTTTCTTTCAAGGCGTGCAGATAATCTGCCACTCAAAAACTAAAGAAGAAGTAAGGTTATTAATTTAGATGGTTCTGCAATGGATTAGGCATCACTAATCTTTACATATGGACTTTTTTTATTGTGCTATGAAAACCGTCCCTGTGACTCATCCTGTGAAATCATGTGATGGAAGGATTGTCTTGGCTGTTTCCGGATGATGATGATGATGATAATGATGTGCGTCCGGTCCATCAGAGCCGTGTCAAAGGACACCGAGCATTACAGCATTACACAGTGTACACTATTTCTGCTGCTCAATAATCCTCATTCGGACATTCAGAGTGACTTTGCTCAGACAAAAACAAGATTTTTTTTTGTTAAAACTGCAAAGGCAAGCAATAAAAAGACAGGTGAGAGAAAGATGAGAGAGAAGATACATAGAGAGCTGAGGAGGGACAAAGGAAAGTAGAGGGCAGGTGTATCAAAGTGTGTCCACCCTGTAGCGTCTTAATGGCTTAATGGCTGCCAAATGCTGTGACCTTGGCACCCAGGGCAGATTTAAAGCAGTACCAGGAACACACAAGCTGCTTTAGAAGCTGCACAGTGGAGGAAGAATTAATGGAGGCTCCACATTGAAGATTCAGCTGATCAATAACACTGTGAGTTTGTATCACAGCAAGCCACTGACAAAAAGAACTGGAAACAGAAACAGTGAGTTCTGTGTGCCTTCCTCGCACTGTGATTATGAACAAAGTGTACTCTGGACTTCTTAATGACTCTGCCAGCCCTGCAACTTTTCTTTGCTGGTCCTTAAATGACTGGATACCCATGAAATGTGCTATATATATTCATGAGGATGAATCCTAATGTTTTGGTGACCCCCAGAAAACCATCTGTTTATGAGAAAAGAAGATTGAATGATGACGCTACCTGATTTAATTATGTGCTTTTGTCTCTATATTTTGACACTGGAGAGCACTGGATGGTGTAGTTGTGTGTATTCAAGGGTCAGATGAACACACACACACAGACACTCACACACACTTACATGTATATGTTATTGTACAGTGGCAGACTCAGGCTGTTTGAGGGGCAGGGGTGAGAAAAGCAAAAAGGGCACCAGCACGCAGAAAACTGATGCATTTATAGTGAAACAGTGTGGTCAGGGTTAGGATTAGCACCCTAGAGGCCACTTGACTACATCTTTTTTTACTAGAAAGGCACCCTAGAGGGCATTTTATTGTGTTTTATACACCATAGGCTTTTATCACCAGTGTTGATTCAACCCTGTTCACTGCTTCTGTTAGCACTAGTATTGTATAATATACTGTATTATCATTCTACTGGTACTACTACACCAGAGATTAAGTCAACCTTGTAGAATTCCACACAAACATGAACCATCATGCAAACACTCCTGCACATACACACACATCAAAGGGCTAACACATACACACACAGAGGGAGAGAGTAAAAATGTCAGACAGCGAAGGAGGAAATCAGAGAAATTGACAGAGAGAGAAAACACAAGACAATGAAAGTATGGATGAAGGGACTGGGCAGAGAAACCCAAGC